TTTAAAATTTATCATTATATTTTATTGTTATTTCTTAATATTATTATTATACTTTGCATTATAGAATTTTTATGATATCAAACCTCACAAAACTTTATTTTGTGGCCTTTGACATTTTGGGCAACAATTATTGATCATGAGTGCTTGATGCTCGAGCAAATATTCTCTACTTTTCATATCTCGAATATGCTCCTACAATAGCATATCGAGAAAAAGAGTTTAAGAAATATTCTAAATTGATTCCATACTTACTCGTGGTTAAATAAAATAACAAGCTATTGATGAAAATGAATAAATCTCATTCAATTAAATTTACTTCATTCCTTGAAGTGAATGTGATAAATTATAATAATTTTGGACATGGACGAAGATGTGGTCATAGCCATAAACATGATCAAAATAATTATCTTCATAATCGTGATGACCATAATAATACATATCACCACAAAAAGTGGATAACTATGAAAAAACAAGAAAAAAATAAAATGTATCAAGTCACCATTTTGAAAATCAATATTATAGTTATGGAATGAATGAATATTGGTCGCGTACCTATCGTACACCAAAGGATTTCATTGAATCTTATCAAGTCTCATTGAAAAAGAAAAGACTAAAATATAGAGGCTAATTTTATATATCAAAATGGAGGTAATTGAAATTAATAACTTGTTAGTTTTTTTATTTATAAATAAGATGGCTAATATTTTTTATAATTTATATTGTATAGAGATAGTTATAAATTTATTTTACTATTTATTTATTTGTGTTTATGAGGGATACATTTACTTATTTATTTTATGTTTATTTATTGAATTATTTATTTTATGTTAATATTATATATGATAATATCAATCTAATAGAAAGCTCTAGAAAAGTGACTATATTATTTCCTGAAGAGACAAATTTTAAAGGTTTTAAAAAAGCAATTATATTATGACCTGAATTTTTGAAGTTCTAAAAGAGTGAATATATTATTATTTGAAGAGATAACTTTTAAAAGCTCTAAAGGAGTCGATATATTATTACTTGAAGTGATATAATTTAAAGACTTCAAAAGAGCAAATATGTTATTATTTGAAATGATAAATTTTATTATAAATGATGTAATATTCTCTTTAAAGTCTCATAACATTTATTGAGTTTTAAAGATATTCATCTAAATTGATATCATATCAAGATAACAAATGTGAGTACTTATATATTATAATCATTATATCGAGTATAAAATATACATTAAAAAATTTACTCGCTTTCTCTTTTAGTCTTTATTGCAAATATTGGAATGATTGAAACAAATGCTATAGTAAATTAGAAGTTTACTAATTCAAATACTTTTATTATGTGGCATGACCAGTTATATCATTTTGGGTCTTTTATGATGCAAAAAATTATTAAAAATTCATATGGATATTTATTAAAGAGCTAGAAGATTATTCAATTTAATGAAATTTCATGTTCTGCATGTTTTCAAGACAAATTGATTATTAAACTATCACAAGTAAAATTGAAATTGAATATCTAGTATTTTTAGAATGTATTCAAGATGATCATATATGTGGATCAATTTATCCACCATGTGAACCATTTAGATATTTTATAATTTTAATAAATACATCCATAAGATGGTTACATAAATGTTTATTATCTACTCGAAATCTGATGTTTTTGAGATTGCTAGCAAATAATTTGGTTTCGAGCATAATTTTCAGATTATGCCACTAAAACAAATCACTTTGAAAATGCTAATGAATTTATTTCTCAAGCATTAAATTATTATTGATTGGCTATTAGAATAAAGATTGAATAACCTATTGCTTATGTTTATACTCAAAAAGGTTTATCATAATTATTTATCAAAAGGTTTCAATCGATAGCTAAACCATTATTTATACAAACAAAACTCGTGTTTATGTTTAAGGACATAATCTTACATGCGGTAAGACTTAGTCGCATCGGACCCATAAATTATCAAAAATTCTCCCCCTTTAATTGATTTATGGTCATGAGTTAAATATTTCTAATTTAAGAATTTTTAGCATTGCGAGTATATATCCGTAGTGCTCTCCATAATGAACTAAAATGGGCACTTAAAGGAGATTAAGGATATATATTGGATTTGAATCCTCTTCGATAATTTAATATTTTGAACCATGAATAAGAAATATTTTTACAGACTCGATTTATCGACTCGTTATTTTTATGAAACAGCTTTTTCAACATAAGGGAGAGAATAAGCAAAAATAAGCGAGTTGAAAATATTGAAAAAAATTACATGGAGTACTCCATCTTATATCATCTTGATCCTTGTACAAAATAATGTGAACTAGAAGTTCAAAAGATAATTCATTTATAAGGCATTGCAAACCAACTCGCAGATGTATTCTTAGATCTTAAATGAGTACCTAAAATGCATGTTTTCGTTGAGAATACTTGTACTAGAATTGATGTCCGAGAAGGATAATATATTAATGTTATAGTAAATGAATCTAAAACACGTCCGAAGTGTGAAAGATCGATCGGTTATAAAGATAAAAATCCCTAAAAGAAAAGGACAAGATAAAAATATAAAGGATGCAAATATTCACAAAAGGGTCTAAGATATTTTTAATAATAAGCTTTTAGAAAAAGTCCAAATGCTTGAGAAAAATCAAAAGATTTTAATAAATTATACAAAGAGAAAAATAGGACCAAAAAGAAATATTTATTGATAAGATTTTTGCATATAATGTTTTAATTGATATCTTGAATAAAAATAAGGATCTTGGGCCTAAATTTATTAAAGAATATTCGACATAGAGATGATTGGCCTAAATGAAAAGAGCAATCCAGATAGAATTATGTTCTCTTACAAATGAATAGTTTTTAAACCCATACTCAAAACATCCGAAGATGTTAAACTAGTAGGATACAAATAAGTATTTTTATGAAAAGAAAATAAGAAAGATGAGATTGCGAGATACAAAGACTTGTAACACAAGAGTTTTCGCAAAAACTTGACATTGATTATGAAGAGATATATTCTCAATGAATGAATGCTATTACATTTCGTTATCTCGTTAGCTTGAAAAAATATATGAAAAAAATTCATATCCATATATTTAATAAATGTGATCACAGTTTATTTGTTCATTAGAAATGATATCTATATGAAAGTTTTAAAAGGACTTAAGATGCCCGAAGCATGTAATAAATGTTCTCAAGAAATGAATTCAATCAAAATAATAGAGATCTCTATCAAAATTATTTTAGTATTAGTTTTATTATTTTAGTTTTTTAGAAATTCAATTTATGCTATACATTTTATATTTATTTATTTATTTTTCAATATCTACTCTTTATTCCTAGTTTGTGTACATGTGGTATAATTATTTCAATAAATATTTATTGAAAGAAGGTTATAAAAATAACCATATTTATTCATGTATTTTTATAAAGAAGTTTGAAAATGGGTTTATAATAGTTGTTATATATGATGATGATTTAGATATTAATGGAACTCTTGAAGAGATTCCAAATGCTATAAGGTAGCTAAAAGGAGAATTTGATATGAATACTTTAGGCAATAAAATTTTATCTTGACTTGTAATTCGAGCACTTAGAGAATAATATTTTTATTTATTAGTCAATTTGTATAGAAAAGTTCTACAATTATTCTATACAAAGATCATCCATTGACTAGCTCAATGGTAGTTCATTCACTTGATATCCAAAAAGGCCCTTTTCGACATCGAGAATATAACAAAGAACTATTTGGTCCTAAAGTACCATATCTTATTGTCACTAGATGCATTGATATATCTTGCTAATAATATTGGATTTGATATAGTATTTTTTATAAATTTATTAGTAAGTCATAGTTCTACTCCAATATGGAGATTGAAATTAAATTAAATATTTCCTACGTTATCTTCAAAGAAAATTTGATATGGTATTTATTTTACTCAAATAAATCAATGTCAAGTTTAATTGGTTATGCGGATGCATGTTATTTATCTAATCTATGAAGCAAACGGGTTATGTATTTACACTTTATGATACAACTATATCATGACGTTCTATGAAGAAAACTATAACTACTAAATATTCAAATCATGGAAAAATATCAATTCATGAGGCAAGTCAAGAATGTGTTTGGCTAAGATCAACAATCCATCATATCCAAGAGACATGCAGTTTATCTACTAGCAAAAGAAGTTCTATAATTCATGAGGCAAGTCAAGAATGTTGCTTGCATAGTTCAATTAAAGGAAGAATTCAATAAAGTGATAATCCAAGCATATTTGTTCATTAAGGCATTACCTACCACAACTTTTGAGAAGATGATTAACAATATTGAAATATATCGTCTTAAAAATCTCAAATGATGTCTTCAATAGGAGGAGGCCAAAGGCCAACATTGATATTAATGTGTACAAGGAATATTATACTCTTTTTCTTGCACCAGTATTTTTTTCCATTAGGTTTTTTTTTTTAGTAACGTTTTAATGAAACATGTTCCTTATACGATGAACATTCAAGGAGGATTACTATAAAATAATGAATATTGATTTCATGTTTTCTACTATTCATATGATTCAATGCACTATTCAATATAAGAAATTAAAAGGATGTGCAATTTATTTAATTATTTATGCATCTTTTAATGGTTCATAATCCTTATAAATTCTCTTCTTAATCTTGAAGCCTATAAATAGGCTTAATTTTTCATTAGTTTACGTACAAGTATTTTGTAGAGATTGAGAAATTATTTGGAGTTGTTATCTTTTGTATTCACTTTATCATATAGTGATTCATTTCGTATCATTTTTCTCCTCAATTCTACTATTTTCATCATTTCTTTTATAACAATTCTAATTATTCTACAAATTCAAAAAAAAATGCTTTATTTATTTCATAATAACAAGGCAATAATAATTTTGTCTTACTAAATCATGATGCCTAAAAGGACAAAAGTTGTATGTAGGAGGGTTGCAAAGTTGCCATGTTCCGTTGACTTGAGGTCAGGTCAAAGGGCGATTTAAATATATCACAAAGGATACAAATTCTGCTGGCAACATCTTTAGTAAATAAGTTATCCACTGCTCCCTGGTAGAGGATGCAATTGAACCCAAAAGGGGATGATGAAGACGACGATGATATAGTTTAAGTATCACTCTATCTGTTCCACTTTGGCTGTCAATCTCATCCCTCTCTTCAACATCACCAGAAGATGTTGTTCCTTGCAGCTTCTCAATGTCATGATCCCATTCCCACTCCGACTCTTGGCTGTCAATCTCATCCTCCTCTTCAACGTCCACAGAAGATGATATTCTTTGGTTAACAATGTCATTATTGCACTCCCACTCCCACTCTGACTCTTCAAATGAATCTGGCTTCTCTACTATCACATGGACCCCAATTTCTTTGATTTCAAGTTCGTCCATCTGTAATTGCAGATACAGCTCCAATTCTTCTCCACAATATTCTTCTATTGCCATCTCATATTTTCTTTCATATCTCACCCAAGATGAAGTCCCAAAAGTTGCTCCTATGCGACTTTTGAACAATTGAATACCGTTGCTTTTATTTTTGATAAAAACGTTACCTACGTCATAACTAACTATCCAAATAGCCAACCCTTGAAAAAATGGAGGTAGATGAAACGATAATGATGAACTTTTCTCTCCGCGATAGCTGAACCAATTTGGTATGACGTCACTAATACTAAAACAAATCTCATACCCATAATCATTGTTGCTCCATACCTGTATGTTGATTTAAAGGACAGTTGAAATGTTAGACACAAATAATAGATGGTTTTAAGTTCTAATAGATGGCTATGATTATTTCATATCCCTATATATATATATACGGAAATTTCAAAAAAACTAACATAGATTAATTGATTAAATTTGAAATATAGAAGGAAGTAGATTTAGTTAGCAAGAGAAAATCGTAATACAAACTTAGCCATTTTCTTTTAATTTAAATAGCTAAGATTAGACTAAAATGATAAATCACATTAACATAAATTAATTTCAAGAAAGTCCAATCCGTGTATGTGTGTGCAGAAGACACGGATAAAAAGATAGCAGTACCTCAGCTAGACTCCTCTTATAACTTTCCGATAAACGGTAGCAGTCTCTAGAGAAAACCGTCAGGCCATCATCCATACGTTCCATGCCCTCAATCTCCATTAAATTTCGGCACCCATCTATGCTAAAAGATGGAGATCTTTTTGACTGAATTGGCAGTCTTATCCTGTCCATTGATTTGCAACCATATGCAGCCAACCACACTAAACTTGAGGGAAGCCCTGCAATTAATAAAAGATTTAAGCAATTACAAACATTCAAACCCTGAAGCCTAGGAAGGTGGCCAATTCCAGAAGGTAGATTGAGGAACTTGTTTCCTGATAAATCCAATTCTTCAAGAGAGAACAAACTCCCGAAATCAACACAATTCGTTGCACTTTCAGACAAACCAAAGGAAGCAAGTTTTAGTTCTCTCAATAAACTCCAACCAGCCAAAGAAGTTGGCAACGAAGCTTTACCTTTGAAATCTAGAGGTGAAAGCCATGATGAAATTTGTGAAACCCAAGATGTAGATGATGGTGAGTCCTGATTGAAACTGTATCCACACAATGATAACTTCCTGACATATTTGAAATGTACAATTGAAGAGAGAAATTTCTTATTTTCAATTCCATCAGCTAGCAGCTCTGTTAAGGATTCCATATCACCCATGTGCTCTGGCAACTTCTCAAGTTGTGAGCACCCTGAAATGTTCAAAGTTTCAAGAGATTTTACATCACAAATGCTTTCTGAAAGAATCTTTAGCCTGCAGCATCCCTCCAAATTCAACAAAACAAGCATCTTCAAATGTCCAATAGATTGTGGTACCTCAACTAAACTAGTGCAATTTTTAAGTATTAGTCTCTCCAAATTGGAAAGTCCTAAGAAGTTTGGCATTTTAGCTAGGTCCTTGCAATAGCTGAGATTGAGGATTTTCAGCTTGTTGAGGATCTGACAAAGCATTAAATAAGCAAAAGAACTCAAACAAGTAAATTTTAATTTTTTGAAACTACATTTTACATACCTTGGTCTCCTTCCAGAGTTCTTTGATGTTGCTGTACTGCATATCAAGAATAACAAGGTTGCCCAGTTCAAAATCGGATGGCAAGGATTTCAAAGGGCATCCGTGCCAACATAACCATATCAACCCTTTGGGAAAAGGTTTGAAACATCCAATGAGATGTAAACCGTTAATCTTGAGTAATTGTAAACGTTTCATCTTTGTAAATGATTCTGTGCTCAAAGGTTCCACTTTTGATGTTGTCACATCTAATGCAAGACCCTCTATAGCTTTTGTTCCCTGAAATTTAAAACACCAAAATTCAATAGAATTCTCATATGATTGGTTGGAAATAGATTTATACAAAGGCATTTTTTTAAAGATCAGTAGAGAGTTTGCAAAAAAAAACAAAGAGATTCCATTGACTATGAGTTTGCATAGATCATTCTGAATAAGCATTTAGTTCTTACCATCTGCTTGAAGAGGATATTCCATGCATCTTCATGATGCCAAATTCGATTACGTTTTCCAGGATTGTCAGGAGATATTTTACGGATAATCTCTCTTCCCATGTCTCGTAATAAATCATGCATGTTTATCTCACCCCAATCATTTATTGTTAGTAAAGACCTTTCGATGAGAGTTTTCAAATCATCTTCTGGATTGAAACCACAACGGGCTTGCAAAACTTTTGCTACAAACTCTTTCCTTCTAACAATAAAAAAGCATGCAATATCAAGGAATGTGGTTTGCAGTTTATCATCATCCAGTGTGTCAAAACTTATTCTAAGCTTTTCCTGAATATCACAGTTTGGAATTTTTCTCAATTTCTCAATGACACATTTCCATCTAGCTTTGTTTTTCTCAAACAAACATGAACCTAAAACTTCAAGAGCTAAAGGAAGTCCTCCAGAGTAATCAACAACATCATTCGCTAGTTCTGCATAATCCTCCACTAGATGTTTGTCCCTAAAGGCTTGCCAGCTGAAAAGCTGAATTGATTCATCTCGTTTCAATTGTTTGACCTCATATTTTTTGTCCACTTTAAGCAACAAACGTTCATTTCTAGTGGTAATGATTATTCTACTTCCAGGACCATACCAACATCGCTCTCGCATCAGTATATTTAGGTGTTTCAATTGATCCACATCATCAAGAACAACAAGAACTCTTCTGTGACAAAGTCTTTCTTGGATGACATTCATTCCTCTATCAACATTATTGATATTCCAAATATTTGTCTTCAAAATATCGCCAAGAAGTTGTTCTTGTAATAAAACTAGACCGTTGGGTTGCTCTGATGTTTCTGTGACATTTGAAAGAAAGCAGCTTCCCTCAAATCCATAACAAAGTTGGTTAAACACAACTTTTGCTATGGTTGTCTTTCCTATTCCAGCCATCCCATGTAGGCCAATCATGAGAACATCATCTGTTGTTGTACTTAGAAAGTTGCTAATATCACGGACAATGGAATGGTTGCCTACTAGGTGTGGAGCAACATCTAAGTACTTGGGATCTAAATTCACAAGCCTTGGATTGATAATAAACGACTTCATATTGATGCTTACAAGTGAACTATAAAAAGAAAAAGCATACCCATTTGCCATAACATTGAGATTCCATCCAGATAGATTTTTGGCCTCCTCAAGAGCTTTTCTCCACTCCTTTGCCTTCTCTTTAAATCGGTCATCATGTTTATCAAATGCTTTTGCAAAATTGCATTTCTGTGTTTGAAAATCTGAAGGATCAATGTCATAAAATATTGGAAGAACAATCTGATCAGTATTCCTATTTTTGCACTCAATAATCTCTACAAGTTCGTTAAGACACCATCTAGAAGAAGCATAGCCTTTTGAGAAGACAACTATTAATATCTTAGATTCTGGAATTGCCTTGAGTAGATGTTTGGGGATTTCTTCTCCTCTAGGAAGCTCGCTATCATCTCGGAAAGTGTGGATTCCTGCTTGGACTAAGGCAGTATATAGATGATCTGTAAAATTCTTGCGAGTATCCTTTCCTCTAAAACTCAAAAAGACATCATAGGTCCCTTTTGGTCTAGATCGAGAAGATCCTGACTCTGTCATGTTAGCTACAGAAAATAAGGCACTTTAATTAGCAATGCAACAATTGGATTGGAGAAGGGATGCATGTCAAGTGATGAGTAGTAATTTCACAAAAACAAACGGATTGATGACTTTTGTTACTTTCACATCTATGAGTCAGCCAATGAAATTCTTCATTATTGATCCTTATTCAATAGTTTCTTTTAAAACCTAGGGCTAACAGTAAGTCAATGCGAGCCATCTAATTTCGACTTCAAGAGCACGAGCCGAGCAAAAATGATTTTGAGGTAGTTCATCATCATCCTGAAATGGATGTATTCCTGCTTGGACTATGGCCGTATAAAGATAATTTTTAAAATTCTTACAAGTATCATCCCGAAATGGATGAATTCTTATTTTGAAAAAGACATCATAAGCGTGTACAAATCTAGATGAAAAAGAAGATGACTCAGACTCAAATAACATGGCAGCTATATAAGGCATCATTCAGCAACATTCAGGAGTGGAACATGTTGATTGTAGTGTAAGGAAAAATATGTGTTAATCAATATCTTGAAGCTAACTCTTTCTACTTAAGAGTTACAGCAGCATCTACATGAAAATAATTACCTTTTAAATAAGAACTAATACCCTTACAGAAAGTCAATGAACTTGCAAGATATATATTAAAAAAAAATGTGATTGGCAAATTTAACAATAACTTTGTACTGAAAGAGATGGAAGGAACTTAAGTGAAGGATCTCAAGATGAAGATAAAAACTTCGATCACAAGTGTTTTTTAGCAAACTTTATGTCAAGAAACGAAATTAATTTAGTTTTAATATTATTGTCATGCACAAATAACCAAATCAATTTAGTTTTAAAGATGAAAACAGAAAAATTATAATCGACAAGATAGAAATCAATCATCGAATCGTTGATTAGTACAAACTCAAACACAACAGAATCTTAGACCAGCGCAAGATTGTCAATAAGGAATCAAAGCTGATAATTTGACTACTTAAGAAAGCAAAACATAACAAATATATAGCTTGTCTGAATTAAAACTTACACACTTAGATTTACTTCAAAACTTTCCTTCTAGACTGTCAAATTGGCAGCCTTTTGGGAAAAAAAAAAAACAAAAGGCACACAGTAGCTTTGAATTTTTTCTGAAAAAGTTTGTTGTCTGTTTTTCTTTTCCTCCTCCTCCAGTTCTGCACCTCTTCTTATATTGTACACAAAGTCTTCGTCAATTTAGACTCTTCCGACTAGGCCTAAATCATATTTTTGAAGTGGGGTCTATTTGCTCTGAATTTTTTCTGACGAAGTTTCTTGCCTTTTTTTTTTTTATCCTTCTTTTTTTGTCTCTTTCTCCTACGGCAATTCTGCTCCGCTTCTTGTTCTCCGCAGAGTCTTCGTCATTCTAGAGTAAGAAGGTAAAAAACAGTACAAAGCGATTAATATTTATCACAATTGAAAGCACACCGTTTGTATGACAACCATTAAATGTTAAATATTTGTATGGATTCTTGAAATAAACTTGCTTCAAAGTTGCCTTCTACTTTTGCCTATGCTTTCTGCAATATTCATTCAGCTCTTCACAACACCCCCAGAAATAGCATCACAAAGATTTTCTTCGTCAAGATTGTAAAGAAGATTTGACACTGCCTCGTTACTCCTTAGCAAAAATCAAAATCATATATATATGATTATGAGTTGGTGGGGTGATCAAATTGCAGCAATCGGAAAGGTTAGCTGAAGAGTAAAGTGAGGGGTGAAGGTTAATAGAGATTATATTGTTTCAAATCAATTATTATTACAAGCCTTGCTTTACGATTAAAGCAGTGTAAACAACATGGACTAAAATGTTTTTCTTTTTCTTTTTCTTTCTTTCTTTTTTTTTTTTTTTTTGTGGACAAACCTAACAAAATGATCCCTAATTATATTGATAGTCTCAATTTTACCACTAAATATATTTTTCATAACAATTTTACCTCCAAACTTTCATAAATTCTCAATTAAAGACTTTTATGTACTTTTAAAGCTTTCAATCTACATTTCCATTCAAATTGTATTTTTATTTTATATGAAACAAGTCCAATGCTTGGACTTTGTGGCAGGCTAATTAATTTATTTATTTTAATTGAATAACATGAGAGATTTCAAATCTTATTTAAAAAAAAAAAAACTTTAGAACAAAAAATAACTAGAACTGTCTAGAAAGTTAATACTGAATCAAGAAGTCAATACAAATTAAAGGACTTTTCATTATTATTAATACCTTAGGGATTAATTAATTAATTATGATAAGTAACATGGTCTGAGTTATAATTAACACCTCCTTGGCTTTTACTTTAAGTTGAATTTTATGTTATTTAGAAAATTATATTTTCTGTGATTCTGAAAAATTACGTAAGGATAAAGCATTTGAAATCCACGTAGACTGACATGCAATGAGGGAGATAAATGGGTCAAATGAGTCTTTGCGTGTGGAGTTGCGGATTGACTTCTGATGGAAGGAAGTGAAATCGTATGGCATTTGTTTGAAAGGAGCATGGAGTTGATATTACATAGGAACAATATTTTGGATAATGTTGATTCATGCATGTTCATGGATATATAAATACAACTCATCAATGACAATATTTTCAAAACTTTTTGCTACTATTTAATATTGCAAACACAGCTAATATATAATCTTTAGTAACTTTTCATAAAAATTGAGGTCCTATTGGGTTCTGCATGTGAATCTTATAATGAAACGCATACCCATTTGCCATATGCTTGGGAGGATACCCGGATAGATTGGACATCTCCTTTAGAGCTCTTCTCCACTTGTTGACCTTCTCCATTTCTTCCTTAAAACGTTCTTTGTAACACCACCATTGAAAACATATGTAGTTCGAGAGTATTATCAATAGTACTTTACATTCTTAGTGCAATGAACGTGAATAGTTATCCATCACTACGAAAACTTATTCAATTTTCATGTTTAGGTCTATCCTTATTTAAAATCTAGGTTTAAAAATTTTTCAACATAATTTTATTTGATAAACATAATCACTACAACTTAACAATTTATTTAGTTTTCCTTCATTAAAAGGTGAACATTCTTAACCATAAAAAGGCCAAAAAAAAAATCATATCTATAAAATCCAACCCAAATATTCTTAAATAATACTTTGATTGAAATTAAGTTAATTACTCCTTTAATTTTCTTCAAATTAATATAAATTAATTAAATTATTCATCAATATGAAATAGTCAATCTTGGCCTTTAATTATTTAACAAATTAATTTGACATAAATCCTATTATTTTTTATAAAAAAAATTGAATTTGACTAAAAAATAAATCAATTGACCTTTCGTAACTAATTATCATTTAAAATACTAATTTCAAATAATTAACTTGGTTAAAGTATTTAATTAAACACTTTGAATTTTAATCCTTATCCGAAGAAAAATTATATAATTCACTTAACCTTTTGAAAACTATTATGACTTAGGTCTTATCAATTCATTCAACTAATCCATATCTATTATAAAAAATTTATTTATTTTAACCTTTAACACTTTGTTATCTTAATTTCCAATTACCATTTAGTTATCTCCTTGTCTAGCCATAGGTCAACCTACTCGACCCATTTAATTAATTTATAACATCTTAAAATATTCATTTAGTCATTCATGTTCCAAATTAACAAAGACACCTAAACCATTTAGAATGGAATAGGTTAAACTCGTACTAAATTTACGAGTATACTTTGACAAGCTCCTTTAGTTTCTTTCCTTCCAGCTCTATCATCAACTTCACATCGAATCAGTGTTCTTGATTACCTACATCACAAGATAACTTGATGAGTATACGCTTAGTAAGTGTAATCATATATGCATGTCATGTATGGTTTAAGAGAAAGAAATGTTTGGCTAGATTCTCTCATGTGGAATTTGTTAATACTTTCTTTATCTCAAAATTAAAGATTGTTCACTTTTATATTTATATATTAAAGAATTTGAATGAGAATTGTGTTGTTAATATTAACAATGAAGTCTCAATTTATATAGATTGCAATGACTTGGTTTGGAAACTAAATCGCGTTGAATAAAGGAATATTATAAAAACACTACAATTAGGGAGGGTTAACTATACATAATTGGAATATCCTAATTTGGTGTTCTATCATGCCCCTACAAGCGCGAAGGTCCATGAAGGACACTAAGCTTAGAGCTATGCGAGTTAAAATTGATGTCTTACAAGAGGCTTGGTTAATGAATTAGCAAGTTGATCGATGGTATGAACATCGAAGACTCGAATTTGCTTGCGAGCAACTTGATCATGAACAAAATGAAAATCAATGGTGATATGCTTCATGCGTGAATGGAAAATAGGATTGGAATAAAAGTAAGTTGCAACAATGCTCGTCACAATAAATTGTTGGTGGAGATAAGAGCCAAACACCAAGTTCTTGGAGAAAATTGATCAACCAATTGACTTCAACTATAGTAGATGCGACAACCATATTCTCGACCTTTGTTGATGAATGAGCAATAGTAAACTATTTTTTAGAACTATAACTAATTGGATTGAAGCCAAAAAAGACCACATAGGCTAATGTAAAGCGGCAAATGTCGGCATCGACCAGTCGGCATTCACAAATGCATGTAGAGATGGAGTCAAGCGAGTAGAAAAGAAAAGACCATAGTCGACTTTGCCTTTCAAGCAATGAATAACTCGTTTAACTTTATTCCAATGAGTGGAAGAGGCGGTGCATAAATTATACTAGTTTATTAACTGCAAAGGTAATGTCGGGCGAGTGTAAGGGAGAGATATTGAAGTGACCCAAGAATTTATCGATACTTAGTTGAATTAAGGAAGGGAGATCCATCATCAAGTTTGAGAGTTTTCAAAGAGGATAGAGGAGTACTAACTTTCTTAACTCCATGTATATTGGTCTTATGAAGAAGATCAAGTACATATTTTCTTTAAGACAAGAATAAACCATTAGAAGAATGAGTCGTTTTAACACCCGGAAAATAA